TACCTGGTTCGATATCCTCAGTATTTTATTATCTCCCTTGTTTATGCCCGTCATCCACTTATACACTTCGATGATATCTCCCCTCGTTCTACGTCTCTCCAGAGAGTGGAGATTCAAGGTTCTAATTCTATCTTCATACGGGTGATTCTTTATACAATATATCATTTTAGTCATCCTTCTCTGTATGTTTTCTAACGAATCTATATCCATCCTGTAGTAAGGAGACCAAAACTGAGTGGAATAATCTAAATGAGGCCTCACTAGTGATGTATAGAGCTGTAAAATAAATTTTGGACTTCTGTTGCTTATACTTCTTGAAATAAATCCTAGTAATCTGTTAGCCTTATTGCGCACACTAAGGCACTGCTGTCTTGGCTTTAAATTTCAGCTTACCATGACTCCCAAGTCTTTTTCACATTCTGTATGATCAAGCTCTACTTTACGTAATTTATAACTTCGGGGGTTTATTTCATTCCCAAGGACTATGTCTTTACTCTTCTCCATATTGATCTTCATCTGCCACTTTCAGACCAAAACATTAATTTGTCCAAATCCTCCTGGGGTTCATTGGTATCCTCCCAGAATGAAACATCCGGCATATTTTTTGTATCATCAGCAAATTTGCTCAGGTCCACTTGTAATTCCTTCATCAAAGGTCATTAATGTAAATTATAATAACAATGGGCCTAAAACTGATCCTTGTGGAACGCCATAGTGACCAGCCCCCTTTCAGATTTGACCCCATTCATGGAAACTCCTGCTCTCTATTGGTAAGCCATGCCTCTATCCACGCTAGAACTTTACCTCCAAAACTGGAACTGCCACTTTTCTTAAGAGTCTTTTTGTGAGGTACTCTATCGAAGGTTTAAATGAAATTCAAATAAACAACATCATATTTTTATCACTGTCTGCTGCTTCAAATGTTTTATTGAAGAACGTCAGTAAATTTGTCAGGCAGGAAACGACCTCTCGTGAACCCATGTTGAGATTCATTAATCAAAGGTGACTTCTAAAAGTATCAGCTATAACTGATTCTAATAATTTTCCTACTATAGACGTCAGGTTTATTGGACGGAAAGTTGGTGGAATGGACTTATCCCCTGATTTAAATAAGGAACTACATTAACCATCTTCCACATCTCTGGCACAACACCAGTTTGGATAGACCATTAAACACGCTCGTTTAATGGCTAATTAATTTCCTTTTTTCATTTTTAATAGTCTGGAAAACAATTGTCCGGTACCGGGACTTATTATTTTTCTTTTACATCGTTTGAAAAAACCCAGTCCCCGGACAGTAAATTGTTAATTTGAATTTTTCGGGAACTGAAAATTGTTTTTTCTAAATCTTTTTGACGACTTCTTGTTAAAGACAGCCCAAAAATAATCATTAAATAAACACATTTCCAGTCCGCAATCCGTCAATGTCCATTCCCATTTTCAGGGGGCCCTTTTTTTTTGCCTTCCTCTTTTGATGGCCCCCTATAAATCCCCTTTTTTTTCCTAATATAGATTTAGCCTCTTTTTCATCCTTTTGGAGCGTATTTTTTGACCTAATTTTTCTCAGGGAATAAAATAATCGGCACGTTGTACATTAATAAGAAAAAAATCAAAACGCAGATCTTTCGTATCGAAAATATCATTTAAAAAAAACCCTTAACAGATTGGCCCCAATCGAATTAAACAGGTTTTCCCTAAGCGTTATAATCGGCAGAACGAAAAAACTGGACTTTTTCTATATTAACCCGATTCTGGCACTCCCAGATAATATTAAAAGTAATGGATTTGTGATTACTTGCGCCAAGCTCTTCAGTGATCACCAGATTGTTTACGAGGTTTCTTTATTTGACAAGACTAGGTCGAGTAAATTATTACCCCTGGCAGGCTCGGGTTACACATTGCTTCAGAAAACAATCCTGAACTACTTCCATAAAGTCACTGGACTCCAGATTTACCGTGAAAGAAGTCCAGTCAATTTGACTAAAGTTAAAATCCCCTACTATCACTACGTTATTGTGTCCCAAAGAAGTCTCCCTCTATCGTGATCCAAGCCTGGAGGTCGGTATATTACACCTAGAATTAGTTATTCTTGACCTCCTAGAAATTCTACCCAAACAGATTCTGTTACTAATCTTTCCATTTATATACCTATTTTTATGCAACAATTTATATTTTCTCATACATATAATGCAACTCCACTCCCTTTCCTGTTAAATCTATCTAAATGGAACAGCATTAAACTCTTGAATACGGCACTTGGCAATCATATCTCGACTCTTTAAATTATACCGTGTTTCGGTTATTGCAATGACATCAAAGTTCCCCGCACATGCTACCAGACGTAATTCACTAATTTTATTTCATGCACTTCGACTGTTAACATAAAATACTTTAATATGCTTCTTTCTTCTGCACCTTTTTCCTATTCAGCTTTGCTTTTATGCAGTTTCTGTTATTATCATTACCCTGTGTTATTCGATGACTGTTATTATTAAGATTCGTAATATCAAAGCCTAAGTCAATATTTCCACACTCATCATTTTCCATTCCTAAACCCATACCTCTAACTAATTCTAGTTTAAAGTCCTAACAGCACCCGCAACTGAACTAGCGAGAAAACACACACCTACCCTTGATAAATGAACCCCCATCCCTGACATACATGTATAATTCTACTGTAGAAGTGGTCCCAGTTGTCAATGAATGGTACTGCATTATCCCTACAGTGTTTATCCATCCAACAATTAATATCAATTGCTCTGGACAACCATTCATTTCCAACACCCCTTCTTGGCAAAATGCCACATATAACAGGGCGCCCCTCCCCCTTCTTCCTAATTATGTCTATTGCTCTCATATACCTTCTAACTCAGTCCTCACCTCTACGCTTGCCTAGATCATTGCCTCCAGCACTGAGGCAGATAATATGATTGATCCCATTACCATCAGCCAGCTGATAATATCCTCCATCCTAGCCCCAGGAAAGCAAAAACCCCCTGTCTCCTACTCCTTTTATCCAGGGATATATGAACCATGTTACTGTCAAGGATACATTTTCTCTACTTCTTGTAATGTAACGGCTGAATGGTACGGTATCCATCTGGCATTATGCATGGCAGCAGTTTGCCTCCCAGAAGGCTCGTTGGGCTAAATCAAACACGCTATATGTTATATGTGCACACACGGGTTTAAACACATAGATACAAGGAAGTACAGTACTTGGTATCTATCTTGCCAAATCATTTCGCCTGCGCAATAGGCGTCTTCAGTTGAATACAGGCGAGCACAACACTGAAGAACGTAGAATACGTAATTTTGTGGCGATTATTCCCTCAATTCCCAGTTTATATTTGCCTGTATTCGACTAAAAAAAATTTATGCTGGCAAAACGGTTCTCCAATACTGATACCTGGATGTTGCACATGTATCTTATTCAACAACTTATCGGTATTGAGTGCCATCAGTGATACGAAACACGGAACACAGACAACAATACGGTTTTTTATAATAAGAACATAAGAAAGAAGGAACACTGCAACGGGCCTACTGGCCCATGCGAGGCAGGTCCAAGTCACCTACCGGCTTAAGCCACTGATCCATTCTAGTCAGGTTCAAGTCACAGCCACTTAAGGAAGGAGCATGGCATCAGATCTATTAGCACAAGCTAGTCAGGTCAAAATCACACCCACCCACACCCTTATGCAACATATGGGAATCTTTATTAAGTAAACGTTTCGCCACACAGTGGCTTCCTGAGTCCAATACAAGGCAGAAAGAGTAGGGAGAGGAGGAGTTTGAGGTAATCAGTCCCACAACCTGGAATCGATGTGTTCAGTCCATCACTCTTGTAGAAAGTACAGCACGTGGACGGAGAAGTGGCTTATATACTGTGCTTTCTACAAGTAATGGACAGAACACATCGATTCCAGGCTGAGGGACTGATTACCTCAAATTCCTCCTCTCCTTACCCTTTCTACCTTGTATTGGACTGATGAAGCTACTGAGTGGCGAAACATTTCTTTAACAAAGATTCTCATATGTTGCATAAGTGTCTCAATCTTCAATTTATCGGATTTCAAAACCATTTATCACACCCACGCCCTCTCTTGTATTTATCTAACCTATTTTTAAAACTACACAACGTTTCAGCTTCTATAACGATACTCGGAGTTTGTTCCACTCATCCACAACTCTATTACTGAACCAGGGCTTTCCTATATCTTTTCTGAATCTGAATTTTTCCAACTTGAAACTTATCTATGTATGGAGATAAATGGTAAAATACCGACACGATGGAAAAAATAGACACAAATCCAGTATGATGTGATACTTTATTGACTACGCCACACAATGGACTTTATCTGTTTGTAACTTGTGTGGGCGAAACGTAGTCAATAGAGGATCGCATTATATTGAATTTGTGTCATTTTTTTCCATCTAGGTATCTTACACTAGCGACATTCTCCTTGTGCTATGTAGACTGTATATACATATACTAACCAGAGACAACGGGAGGAGGGAGAGAAATATATTAACCTCTATTGGTAACAATGAACACTTTCGTTATTGATATTTTTTACAACAAACTGCTGCTGCGCAATTGTTTTGATAATCCTTAGAGCTCCTTTGCCAATTTGTTTCACCCTACAGAGTATGCAGACGACATCTACCCTTATGCGACTTTCCAGATGAACAACAGCCAACAGCAACAGCAGACCCAGCGACCCCGCCTGCAGCAACCAACTCCACAGCAACACCACAACCCCTCCCACGGACACTACCAACCATGCCCCTACAAGGAGGTCATGGCCGGTAGAGAGGTGAGTCTTGCTGTCGCGTCTTCGAGGGGACATTAACAGCCCGTTATACCATGTAATGTAATTCCTTATTACAATGGAGCGGAGGAGAGTTTAGAGTCCTGTGTGATAAATGGTTTTGAAAACTAACAACTTGAAGACCGAGACATTATGCAACATATGGGAATGGAAATATAAACACTTAAGCAGTATAATGTGATCCTTTATTGACAACGTTTCGCCCACACAATGGGCTTTATCAAGTCACAAACAGATCTGTTTGTGACGTGATAAAGCCCACTATGTGGGCGAAACCTTGTCAATAGAGGATCACATTATACTGCTTAAGTGTTTATATTTCCATTGTGTCGGTATTTTATACTATTATTTCCAACATATGGGAATCCTGTGCTACTTTGGCTTGTTATCTACGTGTCATGAATCTACTTTGTTATGCGATCTACACCTTATATTGCAATCAACACGGTACCTAACCTAACATAGGTTAAGTTAGGTTAGGTACCGTGTTGATTGCAATATAAGGTGTAGATCGCATTGTAAGTGTAGATATCATTTTCCTTGTAGATAACAAGCCAAAGTGGAAATATAAACACATATGCAGTATAATGTGATCCTTTATTGACAACGTTTCGCCCACACAGTGGGCTTTTTCTAGTCACAAACAGATCTACCTGGGGCGGAAGGTACGCGAGTATTTATAGTCAGGTTCAGAATGCTAAGGTCAGGTGGAGAATGCTGCATCTGATGATGTACCGAGTGGGGTTATAGTCTAAAATCTTGGTTAGCTTGGAAGGGAGATTGGATACGTTTGTGAGCAGACCTTCTGCAGTGTTCTTCCATTCCTATGTTCTTATGTGGGATAGCAATGAAGAAGTTTCTTGGCAAGTGGTTCAGCTATGTTATAGAAGCCACTATTCTGGTTGAAGTTGTCAGATATAGAAATAAGCGATGACTCCAGGATTCTTCAGAGTAGCACCTCTCACGCAGTACACGGTACAGCGGGAGCATCGACACCATGCCCAGCCCTTCTAGGGCAGGGTAGGTGCCTGAGCCAGAGATTTCAGGTCACAAGACTGTCATTCCCATTAGTCCTTTTGGGGTGGGGATGGCAGACCAGAGAGGCCTAGCTTCTCCCTACGAGCCCTGTGAGGGCGGGGAATGTGGCTAGGGCCTGGGGACAGTTGGTCCCGGAGATGAGGGGTATGATCGACACCATGCCCAGCCCTACTAGGGCAGGGTTGGTGCCTGAGCTCGAACTTGTAGCTCACAAGATTAGGGGTACTGTGCCTCCTCCCATGGAAGACTAGGTCTCAGACACTCCCAAACAGGGAGCCAGTGCTGGCACCACTTGGAAAAGGCCCGAGCCAGGAGAATACCGGCGAATCTTTAACAACAATCCAGGATTCTTCATCAGACCTCACTCAATCACGGTGCTGCATTCCTCGTTTGTGACTTAGCTCCAGTGGCTTAGCTCCAGTGGCGTGTGCTTACCTAACACACCACTTACACATCGACGATCTCGCCTCTCTCGAATTACCTTGTGTTGGGAGAGACTTCGCTTAGAGTAGTGCTTGCTGGACCTTCGTCTTCCTCTCCACCATCAGGATTGGTGCGTCGGTGGTTGCCTACCCAAGGGTAGGAAGCCTGTTGCTGCCTGAATTCTCTTCGCCTGTTGACTGCACGCCATACCTGGAGGTTACCTGGAGGTTATTCCGGGGATCAACGCCCCCGCGGCCCGGTCCATGACCAGGCCTCCCGATGGATCAGGGCCTGATCAACTAGGCTGTTACTTCTGGCCGCACGCAGTCCAACGTACGAGCCACAGCCCGGCTGATCCGGCACTGACTTTAGGTATCTGTCCAGCCTCTCTTGAAGGCAGCCAGTGCAGCCAGTCCTCGCCGCCACTCACGATATACAGTGCTCAAATGATAGGATGGATAATGAGAACTTCAAAAAGAGAGATGCCAAGCCCATGATGATCCTTTCAAATCACTTGTTCTCTCTAGCTGAATACTGCTGTACATTAACATCTCCATACAAAGCAGGTGAAATCGCAGATCTAGAGAGTGTACAGAGATCCTTTACTGCACGTATAAGTTCTGTCAAGCACCTTAACTACTGGGAACGCTTGGAAGCACTTGACTTGTACTCGTTGGAACGCAGGAGGAGAGATATAATCATAATCTACACTTGGAAAATCTTGGAAGGAATGGTCCCAAATCTGCACACAGAAATCACTCCCTACGAAAGTAAAAGACTGGGCAGGCGATGCAAAACGCCGCCAATAAAAAGTAGGGGCGCCATAGGTACACTAAGAGAAAACACCATAAGTGTCCGGGGCCCAAAACTGTTCAACAGCCTCCCCATCAAGCATTAGGGGAATTGCCAATAAACCCCTGGCTGCCTTCAAGAGAGAGCTGGACAGATACCTAAAGTCAGTGCCGGATCAGCCGGCTGTGGCTCGTACGTCGGACTGCGTGCGGCCAGCAGTAACAGCCTAGTTGATCAGGCCCTGATCCATCGGGAGGCCTGGTCATGGACCGGCCGCGGGGGCGTTGATCCCCGGAAAACCTCCAGGTAACCTCCAGGGAACCTCCAGGTAAACCCCATCAGCACTTCACCCCTCAGGGCCTGTCCAGCAAGTCTTGTATACTTTTCACATATTTCCCCACGAGACCCCCCT